TTTCAGTGTTGCTACAAGTGCCCTCCACCAAGCCGCTTGGCTGAGAGAGTTCCAGAAGCAAGGAATGGAGACTCTAGACAGGTCAAAACACAGGCACAGTTCCTGGGGCAGGTTCTCTCTGTTCCCTGCATGGACTTAGGACCACCACCATGGTAGGGAGGGAGACTTGGGCAGGGTGAACTCAGAGTGCTCAACTACTGCAGCTTGGCCAATCACCTGCTCTGTCACTCTCCTTGTGCACATGCTAAGTCCTCATCTTTGCTCTAGACAGATCATGGAGTGGGGAGAGGAGCTGCTTGGGGGGGAAGGGGGGGTCCTAGAGGCTGTGCAGGGGCCATGTAGCCGGGGAGCACCACATGTCCCCTCATTGAGCATTCCCGACTTTGGTTTGCTTGAGCGCAGAACAAGGCTTTTGCTCTCTGCCCTCTAAAGTCCTTTCCAGTTATCTAGGCAGTTCTCCAATAATATGGAAGAAGTTCAAGCAACTCCCACAGAGGAGCTAACTAATACCATTAGGGGGTAGAATCCCTAATGGGCCAAAGTGACTGGAGTCCCCAGAAGTGGTTATATAGCAGCAGGCATCTCATTTCCTCAGGCAATTCCCCGACTGGAGTAGAGGTACAATCTTATGTTTAATTTCCATCTCCTGAGTTGCCACAGCCTCCCTATAAGGTGGCATGCCTTGATCAGGCAGTGTTTCTTCTGGAAATATCTAATCGGTCATCTGGGGTGATTTTCTATGATAATGTGTTTGATTCCCTGTGCGGAGGTCACAGTTCCTGAGGTTGATTCTGACCAGCCCCAACAGCTCCTCAAACGTGAGGCTTAGTTGGAACCAGTCATCTGGTTCTTGCCTGGAGTAAAGTGGTAGCCACCTCCAAGGTGTGTGCATTTGAACCCTTCAGCAATATTTTTTTAGCAAAGATCAATTTTTTAATTGGAAAGGCAGACACACAGAGAGAAGGAGATACGGAGAGAAAGGATCTTCCATTTGCTGGTTCAATCAAATGGCCCCAAGTGACCACAATGACCAGAGCTGAGCCAATTCGAAGTCAGGAGCCAAGAGCTTCTTCCCAGTCTCCCATGCAGGTGCAGGTTCCCAAGGTTTTGGGCCGCCCTCGACTGCTTCCTCAAGCCGAAAGCAGGGAGCTGGTTGGGAAGAGGAGCAGCTGGAAATGAACCGGTGCCCATATGGGATCCTGGCGCATGCAAGGCAAGGGTTTAGCCACTGGGTCACTCGCAGGCCCACCTTCCATCAATTGGTGTGCGTTTTATTTCCACAGGACCTGAAGTGTACAAGTATGGGATCCCAGACACACAGATTCCAGATGCTGAGAGCCAGAGGGGCTGTTGGCTCTGCATGGAAGCTTTAGAAGAGCTGGCTGAGCCTCACCCGGAGGGCTGGGCTGGAGACAGGCACTGGGGCCAGCAGAGAAGAAAGGCCACTGAGTGGCCGTGTCCACCACCTTCACTCCTATAACAGCGGCCTCACTTGTTCTCAGTCAAGGTAAAAGTCAAGGCTGTGAGTGTGGTGTCAGCAGGTGTGTGTGTGAGGGGGACAAGGCTGGGGGCTGGTGCTCATGGCAGGGGAAGTCTGGACAGGAGGGAACAAGATGCTGCAAAGGGGTGACACAGAGTGTGAGTCAGGCTGCCTGCTCTGATGTCCTCTCGGGGCTGCGTAATCTTAGGTGCTACGCACTGGGTTTAGTGCTGAGATAGAAAACAATGAGGTTTCCCCCAAGCCAGGGGTGGGAAAGCAGGTGAAGGAAGAGACAGTCAAGAATACCTGCTTCAGGGGACAGCAAGGGTGCTGAGTCCACCAGCATACTGCTATTCCAAAACCAGTCAGTGTTTAAAATCAAAATCGGAGTGCTTTTGGAAACATCCTCCATGGAGGCTGTCTGACAGCCCTCCCCACACCCGCATCTGATAGGCTCTGAGGGTGGGTGTGATCCTTGAGCAAATCACCCCTTCGTTGTCTTGGGAGAACGGTCTCAACGCGTCCTGAAGCCCAGAGGGCAGAGTGAGAGTAGAGTGTACTGAGAGGGGCCCTGCAGCAGGAAGGACCCGAGAGGCCAGCCCTGGGCCCTGTCCCTCGTTCTGGCTGGGAAGGGGTCAGCAGTGAGTGCCGTGTCCCTCAGAGGAGCTCCAGAGAACGCAGGGTTACGTCCAGAGCTGCGGCAGAGTCTTGGTGCTCGGGGCTGAGGGCGTGATGGCTCAGAGGCGTCAGCTGGAGGTTTGTGTGTCCCGGATGTTCTAACAGGATGCAGGACATCTTTGTGTGCAGTCAGGGTGTACTTCTTTTTTTTAAAGATTTATTTATTTTCATTACAAAGTCAGATATACAGAGAGGAGGAGAGACAGAGAGGAAGATAGCCGATCCAAAGCCGGGAACCAGGAACCTCTTCCGGGTCTCCCACGGGTGCAGGGTCCCAAGGCTTTGCTCCATCATCAACTGCTTTCCCAGGCCACAAACAGGGAGCTGGATGGGAAGTGGAGCAGCCGGGATTAGAACCGGCGCCCATATGGGATCCTGGCACGTTCAAGGCGAGGACTTTAGCCACTAGGCCCCAGCCCCAGGCCCCAGGGTGTGTTTTTCTTTAAAAGTTACTGGAGATATATCTTCTGTCCACTGGTTCACCCCTCAAATGGCCACAACAGCCAGAGCTGCGTCACCTGGCCTCCCATGTCGGTACCAGGGCCATCCCGCGCCAACGTCCCGGGTGTCAGCGGGGAGCTGGATTTCAAGTGGAGTGGCCAGGCCTCAGGCCAGTGCCCGTTGCAGTGACTTCACCCACTATGCCGCAGTGGTAGCCCTGGCCACGGTGCATTTTAAGATGCTCTTGATGAAAGTGACATATTAGCATATCAGCATTATCATGCCTGGTCTTCAGTCTACCAGCATGCTGCATTTAGTGCATGCTACTGGAGAATCCGTTCAATTTTCTTGCTGAATTTAACAATGTCTGAAAACACACTATGGGCTGAAGCAATGGCTGTGGAACCTTATTCATCCATATTTGGAAGAAAATGGCTCTGGAATGACATTGGCACAGATTAGGCCAAAGTGTCCAGTACCCTAAGTTTCTCAGAATAAATCTCACCACTCACATTTGAGTGCCAGCTGAACCTACGTGAGCCGTTCTCCCAGGTCTAAATGGACGCCAGCGGCTTCCCTGGGCCCGGTGTGCTGTGGCCCTCGGGGTTGCTGAGGGTTTGTCTGCTTAGTGCCTTGTCTTGTCTGAATGCTTAGTGATGTGGTCATAATGAAAATCAGAAGCCCGACTTCTTCCTTCCTATTGCTCAGAGCTGCTTAGCATAGATGATGTCTGTGCTTCTGACACCTTGAGCCGGGGGCAGTGGATTCTCCCGTTGGAACACGGCACAGTCCAATTTCTTACTTGCAGCTCATGGAAGCTAATTTAGTGGCTGTTTCTGCTGTTTTTGTTTCTCTTAGGGCTGTGATTTTTGTGAATATTCCTAGAGGAATGCACAGCATGGCTCCTCAGGCAGGTCATTGGCTCATGGGTCCTGCTCTCAAGCTTCCATCACAAGACAGGGATCACGGATTCATTACACTACACTTTATTTCCAGTGCACATATGGTTCTCACGTGAGTGGAAGGATGCCCATATGTGAACAGTTTGTGAGTTTACCCAGTGCAGGTCCGGTCAGGGACTTATCTAGGGACCACATGTGATCTCAGGGAAGTACGTGGTAACGTTCTTTTGTGTCACAGGAAACCCAGGCCTCTGTTGGAACTGAACACACAAAGTAACAGACTAAAGACCCAAACCATGAAACACAGGGAGGTTTAGGATGAGATGCATTTTTCTAGCCGCAAATCCTACTGGCCTCCAGGGCTTGTGCTTCACTGTGGTGGAGGTGGCTTCCACACCACGTTGGGATGTACGAAACATGACAGCTGTGCTGAGCTCAGAGCCTCAGAGGGCTCACATGAGCCTGCTTGCCCTTTTCTGTGCTGTTGGCCTCTGTCTGTGAGTGGCTTCTAGCCTAGTGATGCCAACATGCTCAACTTTCATGCTGGAGTAGCTGGGTTCGACTCCTGGTTCCAGCTTCGTTGATTCCACCTTCCTGCCCATGCAGGCCATATGAGACAGTGGTGATGGCACGGGAGTAGGGCCCTGGCACATGGCAGTGGTGATGGCACGGGAGTAGGGCCCTAGCACACGGCAGTGGTGATGGCATGAGGAGTGGGGCCCTGGCACACGGCAGTGGTGATGGCATGAGGAGTGGGGCCCTGGCACACGGCAGTGGTGATGGCATGAGGAGTGGGGCCCTGGCACACGGCAGTGGTGATGGCATGAGGAGTGGGGCCCTGGCACACGGCAGTGGTGATGGCACGGGAGTGGGGCCCTGGCACACGGCAGTGGTGATGGCATGAGGAGTGGGGCCCTGGCACACGGCAGTGGTGATGGCATGAGGATTGGGGCCCTGACACACGGCAGTGGTGATGGCATGAGGAGTAGGGCCCTGGCACACGGCAGTGGTGATGGCATGAGGAGTGGGGCCCTGGCACACGGCAGTGGTGATGGCACGGGAGTAGGGCCCTGGCACACGGCAGTGGTGATGGCACGGGAGTGGGGCCCTGGCACACATGTAGGCGATATGGATTGACTTCCTAGCTGCTGGCCAAGCCTGATACCAGCCCTGGTCGTGCAGACATTTAGAAAGTGAATCAGCAAATGGGTCCCCTCTCTTTTGCTTTGTCTCTCTCCTCCCTCTTAAATAAATATTAATACTTTTTTAAAGTGAAGAACAAGTCTCAAGCACCAACTGGTCCCAGAGTGAAAGGTGAATGCACCATGCATGTGGTTGATTTGCATCTCAGGTGCTCCAGGTGACCCACAGACCTGTCTCCAGAGTCCCTTGGGTTCAATGGCGGCCAACTGACAAACGCCTTTGGAAAGGCTTTGTAAAATCCCACTTGGCTGTTTCTGCCCTCACCTTCTTTATGTTTGCTCAGAGCAATCGTAGCCATGGAGAAGGGAAATGAGACGTGGCTGGCAGATTTTATTCTCTTGGGGCTCTTCCCCGAGATGAAGTGTGCCAGTGTCCTCGTGTACGGCATCACTGTAATCTACCTGGCTTCCCTCGCTGGGAACCTCCTCCTGCTCCTCCTCATCTGGGTCGACCTGCGGCTGCACACGCCCATGTACTTCCTCCTCAGCCAGCTCTCTCTGGTGGACCTGGCCCTCATCAGCACCACCGTTCCAAAGATGGCAGCCAACTTCTTCTCTGGGAGGAAGCACATTACCCGTCCGGCTTGCGGCGCCCAGTTATTCTTCTTCTTTACTCTCGGTGGCGCTGAATGCATCCTGTTGACCTTCATGGCCTATGACCGGTACGTGGCTGTCTGCAACCCGCTGAGGTACACGGTTGTCATGAACCACGCAGTGTGTGTGCAGATGGCTGCAGCGTCCTGGCTAGGCGGCATCCTAGCTGCCACAGCTCACACGTCTTACACCATGACTCTGCCCATGTGTGGGAACAGAGAAATCCCCCATTTCTACTGTGAGATGCCGGGGCTCATGAAGATGTCCTGTGCAGACACGTCCACCTATGAGCTGGTGGTCTTTGGGATGGGCATTGCATTTATACTCATCCCCTTTGGACTTATTATGTCTTCTTACACTTTGATCTTCCTCACTGTCCTGCGAATGAAGTCCCCCCAAGGAAGGAACAAGGCCCTGGCGACATGCTCGTCTCATCTTCTGGTGGTCAGTCTTTACTTAGGACCCTGTGTTTATATGTACATGACACCGGGGTCATCCCACACGCCTGAGCAAGAGCAGGCTGTATCTGTATTTTGCACTGTCCTCACACCCATGCTAAACCCCCTCATCTACAGTCTGAGAAACAAGGATGTGATCGGGGCTTTTCAGAAAGTCTTAGAGAAATGTCGGATCTTGAAACAGAAAACATGAATGTCGAGGCTGAGAGGCAGACCTGCAGGAGCAGCCACCATCCCCCTTTCCAGCATGAGCAACTTGGCACCATTCCCTATAGGAAATTCTCATGGTTTGATTCCATCTACAATGCTAACAGACATATAAAATTTACAGCACAGAGGAGCCTCATCCAGTGTCGCCCGTGATGGGGCATCTGCTGCTGCTTCTCCAAGGCCGTTGGCACGGATCTAGGAGGGAAAGTGGGACAGTTGGGACAGACAAGTGCTCCTCCAGGATGCCAGCGTCACACGTGGTGGCTTGGCAGAGTTCACCTAACACTGACCCCAGATGCTTGTCTGTCTGTGCTTGGTTTATTTCACCTAACAGGGTGACCTCAAGTTCCAGCTGTTTCATTGCAAAGGACAACACATCATCATTTTTAATGGCTGAGAAGTATTCCATTGTGACCCTGAGTCAGGTTTCCTTTGTTGCTGTTTCAGCCTGTTCTGTTTCTTGACTGTGGCGAATGGTGCTTCAGTCAACATGGTGGTGTAGATGTGTCTTCAACAACTGATTTCATTGTCCTTGTTATACACCCAGCAGCTCACAGCGGTTTTACTTTGGGTTTTTTTTTTTCAGAACTTCCATGCCATTGTTCACAGTGTCCATATTAGCTTACATTCCTATCACATCCTTGCCAGCAACATTGCTATCCTTGGTTATTCTGATAATGCAGCCACGCCAGAGTGAGGTGCTCCCTCCTGTGGTCGTGACTTGCAGTGCTCTGAGGCTGGGTAAGATCTTTTCACACATCCTGCAGCCATTTGTGTATCTTCCTTTGAGAAATGTCTGTGTAAATCTACCCGTCTTTAATTAGATTGTTACTTTTGCTATTGGGTTTCTGACACATTCACATTATTAACACTTTATCAAATGTATAGCTTACAAATATTTTTTCAATTCTGTAGGTTGTTGCTTCATTCTGTTCATCATTTCCTTTGCTGTGTAGAAGTTTTTTTCACTTGTTTGTCTGTCCAGTTTGTCTGTTTTTGTTTTATTTTCTGTGCTCTGGGATCATTGCCTAGTCTAAAGTTGCATAGCTTCACATTCAGGTTCATTTTGAGCTGATTTTTGTTCATGGTGACAGATAGGGGTCTAGTTTCATTCTTCTGCATGTGTATATCCAGTTTTATCATTAATTTTAATAAAAGATTGTCCTTTTTCCAATGTATGTTCTTAACATCGTTGTCAAAAATCAGTTGGCTGTGGCAGACTCCGTGACTTTCAGGGCAAAGCTGCCGCCTAAAGCTGGCATCCTCCGTGGACAGATTCCAGTCCCAGCTGCTCCACATCAGAGCCAGCTCTCTGCTAATGTTCCTGGCAAAGCAGCAGATGGTGCAGATAGCTGGATGCCTGCAGCCATGTGGGAGACCTGCAGGAGGCTCCTGGCTCCTGGTGCAGTCCAGGCTGTGCAACCATTCAGGGAGTGGACCAGTGGATGGAATCTCTCATTCATTCATTCTCTCTCTTCTCTCTCTCTCTCTCTCTCTCTCCTTTTACCTGTGGATCTGTTTCTACGCCAATGTTCACTGTTTCCATTGCTATAGCTGTGTACAGATTTTGAAGTCAAGCATGTAATGCCTTCTTCATTTTGTGTAAGTTCTGTGGCTATTCAGTCTTTTGCCACATGCAAATATTAGCAGTATTTTTGTCTGGGAAAGCTGTCACTGGAGGGTCTTGTTAACTCTGAATTGCTTGTGTAGAGTACACACTCTATGATGTGGGGCCCTCCAATCCATGAGCAGGGGCATTTCTTTATGTTCTCTTGAATTTCTTTTGTCAGTGATTTGTACTTTTCATTGTAAAAATCTTTAATCTTTTTGGTTAAATTTACTCATTTATATTATTTTTATAACTTGGAAATAGGATTGATTTCTTGATTTTTCTAGATGATTCACTGTTGATGTTTTGGAATTGATTTAGTAGTTCTAATAGTTTTTTGTTTGTGGACATAAGATCATGTCAGTGACAGTGTGACTTCTGCCTTTCTGATTGGGCTGCCTTTATTTCTTCTTGCTTAATTATTCTGCTAGGACATCTAACACTGTGTTGAATAAAGCAACGACAGTGAGCATTGTCTTATCCCACAGCCTAGAGAGCAAGAGCCTTGGGCGTTTCCCCATTTAGTATGATGTTAGCTGTTGCCTTGTTATAAAAGGCATTTATTATGGTGAAATACATCTCTCGTGTACCTACTTAATCCAGAGCGTTCATAATGAAGAGATGTTGAACTTTATCAAGCACGTTTTGTGAACCTGTTAGGTTGAACACACAGTTTTTGTCATCCTGCTGGTGTGCTGTGGAGTGTCTATTTGCACACACTGAGCCGCCCTTGCATTCTGAAATGGTCCTAGTTTCTCATGCTGAGTTACTTCTGTAATGTTCTGGATTCAGTTTGCTGGTATTTTGAAGAAGAGTTTTGCATGTATTTTCATCAGGAATGTTGATCTACAGAATTCTCTATTTTATTTGTTTAAAAATATTTTAGATTTATTTTTATTTATTTGAAAGGCAGAGTGTAGAGAGACAGGGAGACAGGTCTTTCATCTGGTAGTTCACTTCCCAAATGAGCTCCATGGCCAGGACTGTGTTGGACAAAGCCAGGAGCCCAGGGCTTTTCCCAGATCTCCCGTGGCTGGAGGAGTCCAGTAACTTGGACCTCTGCTGTTGCTTTTCCAGGCACTTCAGGAGGGAGCTGGATCGGAAGTGGAATGGCCGGGAATTGAACTCACACCCATGTCGGATGCTGGCATCTCATGTGCTTGTTTAACCCTCTTTGCCACAGCAGCAGCCTCAGAATTCTCTTTTTATTTTGTTCTTATCTGGTTTTGGTACTAAGGTAGTATGTGCCTTTTGTAATTTCCTGTCCTCCATTTTGTGGTTTTAATTTAAGCAGTGTTGACACTAATTCTTGCTTAAATGTTTGGTGGAATTCATCAGTAAAACCATCTGATCTTGGCTTTCTCTTTGATAGAAAAAAAATGTGTTAATAATTCAGTCTTGCTGGTCATTGTTGACCTGTTTGTGCATTCTCTTTAAGCATCAGTCAGTCCTAGTAAGACTTGTCCGCTCAGGAATTATTCATTTATTCCAAGGTACTAAATGTGTTGCCATGTCACCGTCCATAGTGATGTCTGTTGACCCCATGTCACCGTCCGTGGTGATGTCTGTTGACCCCACGTCACCGTCCGTGGTGATGTCTGCTGACCCCACGTCACCGTCCGTGGTGATGTCTGCTGACCCCACATCACCGTCCGTGGTGATGTCTGTTGACCCCACGTGTCCATGGTGATGTCTGCTGACCCCACGTCACCGTCCGTGGTGATGTCTGCTGACCCCACGTCACCGTCCGTGATGATGTCTGCTGACCCCACGTCACCGTCCGTGGTGATGTCTGTTGACCCCACGTCACCGTCCGTGGTGATGTCTGCTGACCCCACATCACCGTCCGTGGTGATGTCTGTTGACCCCACGTGTCCATGGTGATGTCTGCTGACCCCACATCACCGTCCGTGGTGATGTCTGCTGACCCCACGTCACCGTCCGTGGTGATGTCTGCTGACCCCACGTCACCGTCCGTGGTGATGTCTGCTGACCCCACGTCACCGTCCGTGGTGATGTCTGCTGACCCCACATCACCGTCTGTGATGATGTCTGTTGACCCCACGTCACCGTCCGTGGTGATGTCTGCTGACCCCCACGTCACCGTCCGTGGTGATGTCTGCTGACCCCACGTCACCGTCCGTGGTGATGATGTCTGCTGACCCCCATGTCACCGTCCGTGGTGATGTCTGCTGACCCCACGTCACCGTCTGTGATGATGTCTGCTGACCCCACGTCACCGTCCGTGGTGATGTCTGCTGACCCCACGTCACCGTCCGTGGTGATGATGTCTGCTGACCCCACGTCACCGTCCGTGGTGATGATGTCTGCTGACCCCACGTCACCGTCCGTGGTGATGTCTGCTGACCCCACGTCACCGTCTGTGATGATGTCTGCTGACCCCACGTCACCGTCCGTGGTGATGTCTGTTGACCCTTTGCATTCCAGCAGTGTTAGTTTTCATTCTGAATTTATGTATTTGAATCTTCTCTTTTTTTCTTAGTCTTGCTAAAGGTTTTCCAGCTTTGTATTTTAATCTTATTTGGGGGGTGTTTTTACTTTCTGTATCATTTGTTTGTGCTCAGAGTTCTATGGCATGTATTGATCTTGGTTCCCATTCTTCCATTTCCTCAAGGTATATTGATGAGCAGTTCACTTAAGATCTTTCTGCCCTTCTGATGAAAATGTTGGTTGCTATAAATTTCCCTCTTGTAGTACTCTTACAGCTTTCTTGTGTTTCCGTTTTTATTCATTTCATCCTGATCCATCGGTGGTTCAGGAGTAAGTTACTGTTTCCTGTATTTATGTAGTCTTCAAAGTTTGTCTTGTTTTTTAGGGGAGGGAAGTGTGTGGTTTTGAGTCTTCTCGTAATTGATCTGAGTGCAGTGAACTGGCTGTTCTTCCTTTTGTGTGTGATTTCTCCCTATCTCGAGGTTGTGTGTTAAAGTACACCGTGATTACAGCAGTGGCCTCAATCTGTCCCTTTTACTCGATGACATTTATGTATTTAGCTGTTTCAACGTTTGATGCATGTATTACTTTTGTTACTATTTTTTATTTGTTGCTTTCCACATACAGTTTTGTAGATTCAGGGGCCCATCCCTCTCTCCTTCCCTTCCTCCCTCCTTGTCTGCCCCCCAACTTTTCCCCCCATATTATCACAATAGTACAGTCCTTATTGTATCATGACATGGTGAGCACAGGTGAAGGTGGGGACGCCTGGTACTATAATGGAGAGTGTAATTACAGGCTCCATGGGAGTCCTGCTGACAGAGAGTAGAGATGCTTACCTCATGGAACCTCTCCTCCCCAGGAATTCTATGCATTTCTTTAATTCCATTTCCTCCAGCTGGGTTGAAGACTATTATTATGTA